AGCAACTCTTGCTTTTCACTATATTCATACCCAGAATACTGAACTTTATTTATGGTTTATCCTGCTTTGAAAGTTTAAGATGTTTTAAAACAGGAATGTTCTCTGAGGCTTACTAGAGCACATGCAGAAAATAGAAAGCAAGCCTAGCAGGTAAATACTATCCAGATTTCATTGAGAGCTAGACCCTTAAGCAAACACATTAACCTCTATGATCCTTGATTTCCTCATCTGAAGGAGATGTACAGCACCATTTACCTACTTCACAGAGGAACCAGCAGATTACATAACTAAAGGAAGGAATTTAAGTCTTCCGTATTAAGCCAAGGATGGACACAGAGAAAACACACAACTCATGCTCACCTGAGTCTTGCCCTTAGAAAAGCCTTTGAGGACATTTTTCTCAGAATAGAACATCAACGAGTTACATGGACTCCATATTGTAATGGTGAGAAATCAGCTTTATTAGTACTCACAGGGCTGAGACCATAGGGATGTGCTTTCGGTTAGCGAAGAGATGAAAGCAGCAATGCGCACTTTGAAAATGGTAACAAAGGTTTTATTCGCTGCCTCTTGGGGACTGAAAACATTTAGACATAACAATGTTTGCCCAGTTGTAATTCTCACAGAGGAGGAAGACCATTAAATACTATGACAGCAATTCTTCCCAAATACTTTCTCCATTCTGGCTCAGCAACCCTTACAATAGCAAAGAGCAAAACAATCTACTCTTTGATTCTTAGAGAAACGGCAAAGAGATTGAAAAGAGTTCTTGAAACTCTAAAGAAGAGATTTTAGAGAGCATGAGACAGTGCTACAATCACCTGTGTGCTGCTCAAAAGATGCCATTCATTCAATTTCATTTGCGCAAATATTAACACTTGGGAAACCATCAGGTTTCCCAAAATTAGATATAGTGAGTGAATCACCAGGGAGGGCTTCTCCTAATAAGTAGACAGTTCTCTTTCTCTTTGAAAGGTCCATTCTTTTCCTTCCCTATTTCACAGAGAACATCACTAGAGAAAGCACCTAGGCCTAGATGAATGCAGATAGATACTTGTGTGGGCAAAAAACATAAAAACAGGGCAACTATGGCTAAAGCAGCGTTTAACAACAAGCACTGTTGTCTGATGGATTTCTAGACTACTGGTCTTCAGATCATATCATGTTCTCTGAGCTTCTTTAACAAAAACATGAACTAGAGCACTCCTACTGGAAAACCTATGGTAGGGGTGTGAGTACTAGTATCCCGGCAGCAGCATCCTAATGGTGTCTCCCACCCCACTTTGACAGCCTTATCTATCCTCCCAGTCAGCCTTCTGGCTGTGCCTGCTACTTCTGCATTAATGTCCAGATCCTGATGACAAACATGAACATTAAAAAGTACTGGCTACCTCCAAAATATTTTCCCCAATAGCCTGTCACTTGGAAGACCACAGTAAAAAAGGGTTTAATTTAATTTGAAAGGTGTTTATCATCAGCAGTGACCTATCACACTTTAGAAGAGATAGGCATAATTGTAATAAGATGGAACATAAAACAAGTCAGTATTAAGGAACTAAGAGATGAGTTGGTTAAAGAAGAAAAGCTTAATTAGCAGTCTGCTTCCTAGAGATGTGCATTACAGAGATCTTGGTCATTTCAGGGCAGTGGTGAGGTAAAGACGTCCACAAGGAGGACAAACTCTCTTCTCTCTCCCCCATCCTCAAACATGCACTAAGGCAGTATTTGCTGAAAGCCTAGATAAACACAGAAATCCAGATAACTTTGGGAGATTTTTTACTCTTAGCTAGGGAACTTGAGAAATGCAAGTGAGAGGGAATGCTCCATTTCCCAGACCCTTACTTTACAGGCTGACAAGGTAAAGAGGTTCATTTCCTTCTTTACATCTTCCCACTTTAGTAATTACTATTTTATAAAGCATAGAGCTGATGCTTTGTCAGCACTTCAGCACAGACACTAAATACAGGGATGCTTCAGTTCCTTCACAAGGCCAGCCTGTTGGTGCAAGCTTATGTTAGCTGCAGGAGAATACAATTCCCATAGTTTAGCATCTCTGCAAGATCAGGCAAATCAGATTAACAGCTGTAATTCTGTCAACACAGGCTGGGACCTGTTGAGAATTAAGCTGATTTTTAAGATAAAGGCCATGTACATCTAAAAATAATGGCTACTATTAAAACCAGGTTCCAACAGGGATTATGAATAACCCCTAAACATGGTCATATTACCAACAGTAGCATCACTACAAGGTATGAAATATCCATTATATTTATTATGAATTTTCACATTGATATAAATAAAGTTGTAATAAGAAAACCATTAAAAGCAAGATCATCTAAAACACACCACAAGTTGGGATGATGTGCATGAATCCAAAACTTTAACATAAAACTAGATTTCGAGGCATGGTATATGAGATAAGAGAGAAGCATTTCTCAATCTTCTATCAAGGATGTTTACCATCATCACATCAAGTTCCAGTCTGCCCCCACTCCTCTTCCTCTGGGAACAGCTCCACCAATTTTATGTCGGGAAAGGGAGGTTGACCAGGATATGAGACCTACCCTTAGAAAATCATAGGACCTATGGGACCCCATTCCCTTGGCCAAAGCATTTAGTCTAGGCAGGGTTAAGCCTGTGACAAAGGCTTCATCAATCACTGTCAGTGCATTGAACACTCAATGAGAAAGAAGCCGCCTAGTACAGTCCTAGAGGCCTGGGAATTTTCTCTAAAGCTGCCTCTGTAATGTATCTCAACTAAGAATCTGCTAAGTACTTGTGAAGGCTGATTACAGAAAGGTCTGTCCAAACACAGGTGGCTTCAATAGCGGCACCCCTCTAAGATGTAGTGCTGTAAGGAACCCGGAGACTACCATACCCGTTTGCATCAGTCCTGAGACCTAAAAAGGATAGAGAAAGACAATGGAAAAAAGTGCATTTTTAGGGAAAGAAGACTGGTGTATTTTATCTTTCTTAGCTAGTATTATTAATAGCAGTTACCATAAATTCCCCACTTATAATGTGCCAGAAACTACTGAGCATTTTACCTCTATTGTCTCATTTAGTCCTCGCACCTTCTCCTAAAAGACAGTATTATCCCTATTTTACAGATGATAAATTAAAGAGGCAAGCAACTTGCAAAAATCTCTGAGGTAGTCAGTGGCTGCTCAAAGATATGAACCTACGTCTGACAAGTTTATGAGTTTAACCATTATAATATACTGTCTCACAACTCCTCTCCATTGTTTTTCTCCATTGAAGCCACTGCTTCTTAGTTCCTGCAATATGTCTGACTATCCATTGGTCCTGCTCCTAGATTATAACACAATTGAGGAAAAGGAGACTAGTGTCTAGATATCTGATCAAGAGAAGCTGGGACCTCTTTGATTAATTGTGGAAGCAACATCTTCCACAATGACAGCTAATCTGGTATGCAATCTCAGCTTTACTGTTTTCCCTCCCAAAAAAGGGTTAATAAGTCTGCAATCCAAGAGATTTGCAGTAAGCCCTAGAAACAGCTGAGCAATGGCTGTTGAATCCCATTGGTGTGCCTATAAGATGCTACCTGGTGTAGACAACAGGATATAATTCTCTCTCCCAGGAATTTAGACCTCTCCAACACACACACACACACACACACACACACACACAAGATGGCATAGCAGATGATGACACATGTCCCATATGCAAACATGAATAGTAAACATGCTTCAGTACAGCTGGAGCCACTGTGGCAGAAAGTCAGGTTGTCTGCTACTCGACCTGATCTTCTTAAAGGATTGGGTCTGGACATTCACCACTCCATGACTGAAACACCCTATATATACCACAGGTTCAAACTCTGCATTCGGCCCATTCAGAATGTGTGAGTGCTAACATTGAACTCTCCAGCAGACAGCAAGCAGAAATGTGGATGATTAAAATAAAGGGTTTTGTTTGGCAATTTCAATTGCAAATGAGGATAAGGAAAATCCTCCCAACTCACACTCTGCTACCAGCTACTTGTCCTTGAGTTAAATGAGGGCTTGGGTCTGGCCTCACGGAGCAAGGGCACTGCTTGTTATTTGGTGGTGGGGGAGGGGGTTGGGGGGATCGGTCAGCACTTACATGCCTTTCGAGAATCTGCCGTTACAGAACTTGAAGAGCTCTGAAGGAGGAACAGAGATACTGTAATAGTAGTGGCCTTGGAGGTGGTGGTAGTGGCGATGGAGATGATGATGAAAGAAGAAAACAGTGATGGTAAATGTCACCTATAAACGCAAGCACAAAGCAGCAACAGATACACCTCTAGTCATTGCCAACCATAGTAATGAAGCTGCTCTGTTCCCAATCCAATCCCATTGTGATGCTCCCCCTCTGCGCTAAACACATCCAGCTTCAAAAAAAACCAATGTCTCTCTTCCTCCCCCCGCCCTTCCGCCCTCCACCTTCCCTGTGCCAAGAAGGGAATGAGACTGCACTGGCGGGTTAAGGGGGCTGGGACCTGCGAGTTAACGACAGGAGTTCTGTAGTGAGGGGCGTTGGGATGACCCAGAGGACCCACCAACGCACTTCGGAGCAGGGTGGTGTGGAAGCTGAAGGAACCCACACAGAAGGGGAGGAAGATAAGCTGATGGGGTAAATAGACTTGATGCCTCATTCCAAGAACCCTGAAGCCGCGGGGAAGGCGGGGCAGGGAGCCTTTGGTCGGGAAGAAAAGATACGGGCAGATGGCCAGCAGAACAGACAAGACTCTCTTTACCTGACCAGGTGCAACAGCCGTAGCGGCTGCAGCGGGGATGCCGCGCTCCAGTCCAGAGCCACAGCCCGAAGCTGCCGCTGAGCCGACCTCCACCGAGGCCCCGCCCTCTCCCCGCCCCTCGGGCAACAGGCCCCGCCTTCCTAGCACGCGCCGGCCTGACGAGCTGTTTAGGGGAGGTAAGCAGTAAACTGATAGGCAGGACTCAAGACCAGTGGAAACGTAAAGCGGCTGGGGAGGCGGGGCGGGAGGCGGTGGTGCCCAATCAGCTGCGGAGACGCGGGGCCTGACTAAGGAGCAGTCCTTTGGCGCCGTCTGTTCCGGGCTGCGGGATTGGAGGCGGTGGTCTAAGAAGGACAGCCAGGGCAACAGCTAGTCAGTCTCTCGCTTCTTGTCTTCAGCATTCCTGTTTCCGAGCGCCTCTGAAGGCGCACGCTCTGGACCTGTTCAAAAGAGGGAAGGGAACCGGTCTGTAACTCCCACAATTCCCGAGGTTCCCACTTCTCCAGATCCGGCAAGGCTGTTTCGCTCCAGTGGCCGGGTCTAATCCCTGGCCCCTGCACCCTCAGCCTAGTCGTTCTTAATCATAAGTGCTAAAGGGAGCAAAGGAGGAAAACTCAAGAATCCACACATAAGCCCAAACCCTGACATTAGTCTTTTCCCCTCGCATCTCCCGCCTACACTGCCTCCTAGTAGCTTTTTAACCAGAACTGCTGAATGGCGTGTAAGTTACTTTCACTGGTTGAATTAAACGCAAAATAGGTTTAGGCTGAGATATGGGTAAGGGCCTTGGCGATCTGAGAAAGAAAGACTGAGTCCGGATGTCAAGAGGCCTGGGCCTCACGAGGGAAGTTTCTCAGCTTATTTGAACACCGCAGAGTTGAAGATCTTGTTACTGCTATTTCTGTGCTGGTGAATCAGTAGAGACCTTGATGCCAAGGTACTGTTTTCTCCCCAAGTGTCTAATCATTACTGAAATGAACTACCTTCAAACCTTTCCTAAAAGGATTTGAGGTCTTAATGTCGTTGAGATTTGGAATGTGATTTGAGTGACACTGAGATCTTTTCCAAGTAGGTAAGGCAAGAAAAGTCATTGTCTTTAATCTGCTTTTGGATAAATGCAAACCGTATTATCCATTTAGTACTTGAAGACAGAATTTTGTCCTGATAGATACTGTTTTCAAATAATAAATAGGAACATTTTGGGAGGTATTTTTAACGTGACTTTTTTCACTATTTGTTTTCTAGAAATAATAGTGTATGAGAATTCTGATTTATTCTTATTCATAATGTTAGCCAAACACTGATCGGCACTTTATTTATTTGTTTATTTAACACAGGGTCTCACTCTGTTACCCAGGCTGGAGTGCAGTGACATGATCTTGGCTCACTGCAGCCTCAATGTCCTGAGTTCAAACCATCCTCCCACCTCAGCCTCCAGAGTAGCTGGGGCTACAGACATGCACCACCATGTCCAGCTAATTTTTTAATTTTTTATTTGTAGAGACAGGGTTTCAGCATATTGCCCAAGCTGATCTCAAACTCCTAAGCTCAAGCAATCCTCCCTTCTCAGCCTCCCAAAATGCTGGGATTACAGTTGTGAAGTGCTGTGCCTGGCTCCATAGGCACTTTATGTACATTATCTCCTTCGATCCTCACATCTTCCTCTTGTAAATTCCACTTATACATAAGAAAACTGAGGCTTCCAAAGTTCAAATAATTGGCCTTGGGTCACGTTGGTAATTAGGAGTATAGTCAATACTAGGTCAGTACATCTTCTGCCTAAAAATCATTATCATCAGTTAAGAGAATAAGAAGACTCAGCGCAACTCTTGATTCTTTGATGCATTTTTCTTTTTACCTGAAAATTGTCATAGAGGGATCCAGTTTTCACACTATTGACTTCTTGAAACTGCAGCCTCAGAAGCACCTCTAAGACTGAAGCATCACCTCTGAAATGTGTTAGGAGAAATTGCAAGTCAGCTTTGCTCATGGAAGGAAGCTGTGATTTGCTATTGTTTGGAAGGAAGCAAATTTTTGCAGGGCTTGAGTCAAACTAGGTTTTAATTGAGGTAGAAATCTTTTAAAGTCCACCCACAAAACCATATCATGGTCATACAAACTTAGTCCTAGAAAGGTAAAATGATGTTAATCCAAAGTCTTATTCCAGCATTGTTTCAACAGCTTTCTGAAGAAATTCCTAAATCCTACTCTGTCCTTTAATCAAACCTGGAAATATGTACTTTCTTTAAGGTTGGTTGGGGGAGGGAGTAGGAGGTATTTTATAGAGAAAGGAGAAGAAAAATGTTTTCCCAAAGAGGCTATTTATAAAGACTAAGTAAGTCAAAGGTTATTGATCAACATAAAGGCATATACTAATTACTAAGTTACTGGATTTTTTTTTTTTTTTGAGACAGTTTCACTCTGTCATCCAGACTGGAATGCAGTTGCACAGTGTCGGCTCACTACAACCTTTGTGTCTCAGGTTCAAATGAGTCTTCTGCCTCAGCCTCCTGAGTATCTGGAACTACAGGTATGTGCTACCACATCTGGATTTTTTTTTTTTGTCTTTTTGATAGAAATGGGGTTTCACCATGTTGTCCAGGCCGGTCTCGAACTCCTGACCTCAAGTGATCTACCTGTCTTGGCCTCCCAAAGTGCTGGGGTTACACTGTGAGCCATCATGCCTGGCTTGTTAGTGGAATATTTGTGTGTTCCTTGCTTAATAAACAGTTACTGGTCAAGAGCATGGTCCCAGGTGTTTGAGACCACCCTGGGCAGTGTAGTGAGACTCCATCACTACCAAAATAAATGTTAAAAAATTAGCTGGGTGAGGTGGTACATACCTGTAGTCCCAGCAACTCGGGAGGCTAAGGCAGGAGGATTGCTTAAGCCATTGCCCTGTAGCCTGGGTGACAGAGCTAGACCATGTCTCAAAATAAAAAGATAAAAGATGAAAAAATAAATAGCCACTGAGTGCCTAATATATGTTAGATACTGTACTAGACTCTGGGGATATCCAGTTCAATAAAGCCCATTTTCCCATGGAAATGCACAGCCTAGGTGAGAACATTCAATCTGGACCATATACTTGAAGAGATCACTTTATCAACAAAATTGCTAATCTTCACAACCTCCCAGCAGGGTAGGTGTTATTACCACCTCAAGGCTGAGGAAAGCGGGACTAGAGAGGATAATGACTCACTTGAGGTTGCACGTTTAAAAAAAAGTCTTGACCCCCAAATCATTCTGACCTGGAGGCCCACATTTTCTTTTCTTTTAGACCAAGTCTTGTTCTGTTGCCCAGGCTGGAGTGCAATGGCATGGTCTTGGCTCACTGCAACCTCTGCCTCCCAGGTTCAAGCAATTCTCCTGCCTCAGCCTCCCGAGTAGCTGGGATTACAGGCATCCGCCACCACGCCCAGCGAATTTTTTGCATTTTTAGTAGAAACAGCATTTTTGCCAAATTGGCTAGGCTGGTCTTGAACTTCTGACCTCATAATCTGCCCACCTCAGCTTCCCAAAGCACTGGGATTGCAGGCATCAACCACCATGCTCGGCCGAGGCCCACATTTTCACAGTATACCATAGTGTCTTCCTAAGAGAAAAAGCTATCTCTAATAATCCTTAATGAAATGTGTTACTCCTAAAACATGTGAAATATATGATACAATGCCTATGAATTTGAAATTACTAAATTTGGTCAATTTGCTTATCAAAGGGAACCAAGCAAATGGAAATAATGGTCCCTGCCTACATAGGGCTTAAGGTACTATTTACACATTCTCCTTTAAAGTCCCCAGAGGTAAGTAGGATTTCATGAGATTCCCCAATTATTCTTGTGTTATTGTATATATATATTTTAATATATAAATACATATATAATTAATTTTAATGTATATTAATACATATAATAATTTTCATTCAGGATTCCTGGCTCATACCTCCCCTAGCCATTGTTGGTCTTTTGTTTTAATGTTGTACGTGTTAGGCTTCAGGGCCAGGCCTCAGGAAACAGAATCTGTCTCCTGCCCTATCCTTATCTGCTCCAAGGCAGGATTCTAATCTCCCCGCTTTCTGATTGTGGGTCTTAGGACTGTCCCCACAGAGGTTCCCATCCTATACACTGGAAGAAGAAATGCTGACATCATGAAGCTTCCATAATAGCCCAAGAGGATGGGGTATGGGGAGCTTTTAGAGAACTGAACCTGTAGAGGCTGCAGGAAGGTAAAGAAAAACTCATCCATGTGCTAGGAGGATGGCGCAGTCCAACTCCTGGGGACAGAAGCTCCCACACTTTGGACCCTTGCACACCTCACTCTATATATTTCTTCATCTGGCTGTTTATTTGTATTCTTTTTTTTTTTTTTGAGACGGAGTTTTGCTCTCGTTACCCAGGCTGGAGTGCAATGGCGCAATCTTGGCTCACCGCTACCTCTGCCTCCTGGATTCAGGCAATTCTCCTGCCTCAGCCTCCCGAGTAGCTGGGATTACAGGCGCGCGCCACAACGCCCAGCTAATTTTTTTTGTATTTTTAGTAGAGACGGGGTTTCACCATGTTGACCAGGATGGTCTCGATCTCTTGACCTCGTGATCCACCCGCCTCGGCCTCCCAAAGTGCTGGGATTACAGGCTTGAGCCACTGTTATTTGTATTCTTTAAAATATCCTTCTTAATAAACTGGTAAATGTGTTTCTGAGTTCTGTGAGCTGCTCTAGCAAGTTAATCAAACCCAAAGAGGGAGTCTTGGGAACCCCAACTTGAAGCTGGTTGGTCAGAAGTTCCAGAGGTATCCCAACTTGCAACTGGTGGGGCAGTGGGTGGTCTTGTGGGTCAGAGTCGTCAATCTAGGGACTCATGACACTGTCTCTAAGGACATAGTGTCAGAACTGAATTGGAGAACACCCAGCTGGCGTATACTGCTTGGTTTGGGGGAGAAAACCCCCCACACCTTTGATTATAGAAGTCTTCTGTGTTGGTGTTTGTTGTGATGGTGTGAGAGCAGAGGCAAAAGGTGATTTGAGAGAGTTTTTCCCAAAGCAATTCCCAAACTGTTTTCTTTGCCCCTTAGTTCATGTCCAGTAAAATTAGTTAGTGAAGATCACACCCAAGTATATATGGCCAGAAGACCTCGCAGGATTGACCTCACCTGCTTATTGGAAATGCAGAATCTCATGTTCACCCCAGACATCCTGAATTTAGACTGCATTTTAATAAAACACCCCTAAGTGATTCCTAGGCACGAAAGCTTGAGGTCTGTTTAATCTGAAAGAAATGAATCTAATAACTCTAGCAGCTTTCTGCCCATAGAGGCTTGCTCCTGACCCTGGACTGCACAGGAGAGGAGAGGAGGCGGAAGGGAGAGGAGTGGGGATGGGAAGGAGGGGAGGAAAACATCTGCAATACACATATTCATGCAGAGGAGCATTACCTCCAACAGCAAGAAATTTTACTGCCCACAGATTTCTAACTCTAACTTCTCTCAAAAGATTAAACCATCCCTTTCCTACCAGAAGAGGAGAAAGAGAACCTTAAGCCAGGCTTTGCACTAGATGTAACCTATAATAGAGTTGGAGCTTCCTATGCTGCTATGACCTACAGTCAATGAAATCCACAGATGTCATAATTTAACCAATTAGTGCTTCCTTTTTAAGAACAAGGTATATAGGTCTTTCCAGCATTAAGCTGCAGGTCAAATGCCACTTCCTCCATGAAGCCTTCTCTCATTCCCTTTCAGTTCATTTCCAGTTCTGTGCTTCTGTATCATGTTGTTTGTATTTCCTTTACCCAGTTGCCCCTCATAAAGGGCCGCAGACATATTTGCTTTCTATCCTGGATTCAAAGCAACTTGAAGGAAAGAATTGCCTGAGATTTACCTTTTCATTCCCCCTAATACCTTGCATATAAGGAGTGATCTACTTTGTTCAGTTGAATCACTGTCCTTCCCTGAGGTGGGTGGATGATTTCAATGTATGACCTAGAAAATCAGAAGAAGTGATCAAAAAAGAAGCAGAGAAACAAGATGCCGAAAAAGAATACATTCTGGTGGTTCCATTTGAAAGAACTCCAAGCTTGGGGGAAGAAAAGACATGAGATGTGGCAGGTCACATCATCTGTGGCTTTAGGGTTTCACTTTCCCATCATGTGACCAGTCAGAAGCAGGGAGTTTCTCTTACTTAAGAGCTGATGTCAAGGAAAGGGAATTTGTTAGAAGTGGCATATGGATATCAGGGAGACCAGCTAGAGTGAAAATAGAATTTGATACTGGGAGTGAATACTGGGAGGACAAAAGGGGCAGCAATTGAACAGCATCCCAGAGAGCCATCCCAGGGAAATGGACTTTGCTCTTCACAGAGGCATACCATTCTCTCACAGGAATGAGGGCCTAACAAACAATTCTAGAAACGGCTCATCATTTCAAAATCCCACTAATGATGTGATCCAGCCCAAATCACCTTAACCAATTTAGACCTTAGTTTTCTCTTTCCGTTACTGAAAGGGAATGACAGAGTTACCCCAAAGCACCAGTCACAGGACCACTAATGTTAATGTTCTTTTTTCTCAGCTAAATTTACACATGTAACATTCTCCAAAATAGATTTTGCATTTATTTCAAACCCAAGACAATCTACAATAGGGGAAGGCCATCCTCATGGAAAATATTAAACATGAAACCAATGATTACATCCCTCTGAAATGTAGGACAGTGGGAGCAAATCTAATCTCTAAGATGTTTCTACCCCATTTGCCCTGGGCTGTGTAATCAGCTTTTCCTCTCAACGATGAGATAAATGCAACTTGCCTGCTGCCACATTCATCCTAATATGAATGCTATTCTATCGATGAATAGCTACTCATCATCCCCAAATTCCCTGAAAATACTTAATGGCATCAAAATGGTGATCTCTGCAACAGATCCAGGTATCTCAGATACAAAGCAACAAGGATTTTATGCTGCTACATTGCCACTCAACATGAGTTCATAGCCTGAGAAAAGGCAGATCAGGCTGTGGAAAAGTCAGAACTTAAATAACAATTACAATCTTCAGACCACCAGAATAATACCTCTTCAGATTTAGGGGACTCATTCTCTCTGATGCATCCTCCATACTGATTTATTTCCCAACTCATTCTGAAAAGGAGTTGAAATGACAAATTATCTTTGAAACATTGCAACACGTAGGTGAACATTGTGGAGGCTGATAAAGTGTTTGCAGACTAACAGGATTTTTTTTTAACTTGCCTACAGAAATCTTAAAAATATCTTAAGTGCCACCTGAAGCACCATATGGAGAAATTACTCTCACTTAGCTATAATCATAATTGCATTTATGCTGTCGTTTTGTACAAAGAAAGCAAGAACTTGCATCTCAAATGGAAACCTTGAAATCACTCAGATTTTCTGAAAAGGCTTAGATTTGACTCAACAGGACAAGTCATAATGATTATAGGGCTCTTGAATATTGGGGAGTAGAGAGGAGAAGAGTGTGGGGGTTCCTGCCAAGAAATATATTCTCAGACACCACAGCAGGA